AACCAAAATAAAAAGCTTGTAGTTCTCAATCAGGAGCGCACCAGCGGTTTCCCTGAAGAGCTGAACAGCTCGTATGTTGGTCCTTTCCCTTGTGAATTAATCGTCTAAAAAGAAAAGCAGGAAAAAGCGAATTTTGGGTAAGTAGCACAGATCTCTCAGTACAAACTCACTCATATTTGCATAGATTTTTTAGTAGGAAAAATTCAGATTATCTTGAATTATATACTATCTAAACTCTTTTATAAATTTGCTTTTTTGGGACCTCTTCAATTATTGTGATCAGTAAGTTACAAACGATGACATCATCTTATATAGACTACATGAGATACAGTTGGGTGGCTCTAAGGTTTTCTTGAGGGGTGGATCTCGAAAAAAATCCCAACTGAACTGATTCTCTCAAAAACTTCTGAGAAAACTTCATTTTTTCGGAGCGCGCTTCAGCCTCAAAGTTATTATACATTGGCGCCAAGTTGTCTTTATAAAAATTAGAAAAATAAATTAGAAAAAGATAGAATAATAAGATCAACGCCTCTATTTAGCCCTATATGCCCTTTACATTGTTTTTTACGAGTTATTCTAAGAATTTAGTCAAATTAATGCCGTATGTTTAGATAATCAGAGCTCAATCGAGTTTGAACACGCTTTTGTTTTTAAAAATGAAACAGTTTTCTTTTTTCAAACTTTCCCCGCTTACGCAAAGTCTAGTAAAATAGATGCTGAATTTTGCGTCTATTAACGCAATTTTTGGACCCATAATCTTACCTCAAGTCAACCTGAGAAATATTAAAGTGACGCGAACGCTAGGCTTTACTGGAAACTGGAAAAAATTATCAATTTTCCAAAATTGGCCAAACTAGCATAGCGGTGTCGAAACGATCACAGGTGAAATAAATTTTTCAATTTTGAGATCAGCGCATCAAAATTTTTCAGAGTGTGTGAGATTATTTGTATCAAAAGATGAAGCTTTGAGTGTTCTGATTGCTCCTTGAAGTCGCTGAAATTTTTTTTTGATTTATAATTGATGAAACAAAATGTTACTTTTCCATTTTTTTTTATTTTTACCCCCTATTAGCGCATCTGTTGCTCTAGCTCTCCCAATCTTCAAAGAACACCTTCAACCCAGATAAAGTTTGACAGATTTTTTATATACCATCAAGAAGATGTTTTTGTCTTTAGGTCAAATGTGTAGAAAAATATTTCACCTGTAATTAATTTTACCAAAATTATAAAGATTTGATTTTGGGACTACTTTGACGGCTATAATTAAAATTTGGATGATAAATGCGCTATACATTTCGTTCTTTTAAAGAGTATGTGGAAAAATAATTTGAACTGAAGCAAAAAATTTGGTTAGAAGCCCTCATAGGCGAAGGACCGAATGGGCAAAAACAACAATCAGCTAATCAGATTTCAGTGTTTCCAAATTTGGAGAAAAAAAAATGTGAGAAACTCAAAGAAAGTAAGAATTTCTGTGGACTTAATATTAATATTGGTCGAATATGAAACGACAGAAAAACGCAAAACTTTCAAATTGTCATTGACCGCCGGCGTGTTGAAACAAATTTTATGTTTCAAGGGTTTAGTTATAAAGGAAGCAAAATACTGCTTCATTTAATTCTTTTTAATTGAACGGCAAATGAAAAGACTTTCAATTTTTAAAAAGATTTTTTATTTTTTTTATTTCGCCCATGGGTTTTTCGCCTATTCGGTTTTTCGCCCATAAGAATAGCCGCCAGAAAATTGCTCTTAATAATACGTTACTCGCGTGAAAAATATCATTTTATACTTAACGTAGCTTGTGGGGTGATAAAAAAAGAAATAGAAGACTTGACACTTTTTCGAAATTCAATTTTTTTCGCAACAAGAAGCTTATGAAATACAATAAAAGACAGTCAGAACATTCAAGATTTTGCTGTTATATGCAACTAGTCGTGTTAATGCGACTTTCGAGGAAAGCGGAATAATTAGATTCTGCCGATTTTTTATTCAGTCAGTTTTTGACTTTATAACTGAGCTGAGCAATTTTGACGGACGTTTTTTGCATCATCTAAAAAATTTTGTTATTCAAAGCTCAAAAAAAAATCCCAACTGATAATTTTTCATAAAGTTACAGGAGTTAAAAATGGCTATGAATTGAAGAAAAACTCAAAACAATTTTTTTTTCATTTATTTTGTCAAAATTTTAAACAAAAAACATTTCAATTGGCCTTAAAGTGAAGTCGGATTATTCAAGTCTTCGCTGTGATTTACGTGCAGTCTTGATTTATTCAATTAAGAATTGTTTTACTTTCCGCTAAGGCCTAATTAGGTCGAAACATGTCGCCTCAATTATCCCATATTGATAAAGGTAATAACATTAGAGGGAAAAAATACATTTTTAAATTTCTTTTTAATTTTGATTTCAGTCAAAAGTTTTTCAAAGTTATATTTTTCGGATTTCGTCGTTTTCAAAAACTTGTCTTAATTTGTAATATGAAAAGTCAAAACTTGTCTGCAGATAAATCATACCGAGCACAAATATTGGCATGACATGTATACAGAATGGCTCTCAACAGAAAGTATGCGTATGCGTATTGCTACTCATTTGTTGAAAACCTTTCAGAGCAATCAGAGCAGTTATGAATATGATGTTGCAGATTTTCACTTTCACCATCCAAAAGTTCATTTTGTCCTATTCTATCGGAAGAGTTCTTTTTTTCCCGACTTTTTAATTTTTTTAAATGTGTGTAAAAGGCAGTTTTGCCACATTTCTCGCAAAACTATTCATGCAATTCAAGTTTTTTGGCTCTTTTTCGTTTCCTCCCATCTGCGAAATTTTACCAGTAGACTTATTTTTCGCATTGTCCGATTGCTACAAAAATTGGTATGGAGACTGATTAGGCCGTGAAAAACATATTGGGTCTTCATACAAAACCTTGTAAAACCCCTCGTTACACCATACAACTGATGCTTCGCTGAGGATGGAGAAAGAAAAAATCCAAGTTTTTTCTATTCAAGTCACAGTAATGTTCAAAGTGATGTTCTCCTATTAACTCAAAGACAAAGTTCGTTAAGTTCAAAGAGAGATTAACAATCAATTTGTTACGATAAAAAAGGTACAAAAAACATCCGGGAAAATTTTAGATACGCTACTGCTGCCAGTAAAGTAAGTCTAAGTCAAAGCTATTGGCAAGAGAATTGTGAGCTAAGTTTTAGGCATAGTGATGAAATCTGGCCAAAAATTTAAACCGATTGCCTACAAACTTGATTGTCTATGACTATTGTGACTTAAAATCTACTCCTACTCGAGTTTCAGACATCATTCTGAGACCTGAACGTTCGACCGAAAAGTTCAACCAAGACTGCTTGTTTCAGTGCGATTGTTTTGAACGAATTTTAAACTCCATTGAAAAAATGGATAAAATTTACAAAAAAAAACAATTAATTTCAAAGTTTTTTCAATTTGTGTTTGTAAGTCATCCCCCTACACGCTATTTAAAGTACGATTAAATAATACATTTCGCATATAGCAAAGAATGGATATTTCAAAATAGTACAAAGGGGGGACTCTTCGGGTTGGCAGAGGGTCGAATCCCTGAGAAAACGGGCGTCCGAACCCCATCCTCCCCCTAAATCCGCGACTGCTGTACTTAGACAAATTTTTATCATCGTTCATGGAGTTTCTAACTTTCCTGTTTTCGAAGTTGGAACTATATTTCCCTCTCATGTTAGCTTGTAAAGAATTTTCATTGCTATGAAGAACTGATGCAACAGTTTAGACTATGTGAATTCTTGCAACTTATTTTCCCCTCCGCCTTTTGCAAAAGGAGGAGAGAGAAATAATCAAGATCCTCGGTGTTTGCTTTTCTTCTGGGGTTATTCCTCAGTAATTATTTTTTTTGTTTTTTGCAACCACAGTGGAGTCGATTGAGAGTCCAGTGAATGTATTCGATGGACAAGAAATTGTGGGTTCAGAGATGCTGCAGTTCTTCAACAAACACGTCAATGCCTCCATCAGAGGATTTACCATCTACGACCACCTCAAGAAACGCCACTGTTTCGAGCAATCTCAGGTTCTTTTTTCTGGAACCAGACAAGCTCTACTCGCTTCAAGCATTTGTATTCAATTAGCTGGGTTGATAGAAAGTTCTTCTCATACAATTCCCATTTATGGCCCATACATTTTATACATTCAAAGTACTGCATATGGTACTCTTTGACTAGCTTTCTCCTGGTTTGGTTTGCATTGGTTGCAACATAAATCCCCGACCTCGAACCTGGTCCTATTATGAAACTGTATGGTTATTAATGAGAATTGCTTGACTAGCATCCCGGCTTATTATTCATTTATAATGTAACTAGTAACCAATCATATTCAAGCTGACCAAAAAACCCTTGTGCGTGCTTGTTTTGAAGTGACTTCCTTCAAAGCGCAATAACCCAGTTAGCTTCTAAAAAATCAGAAACAGCCATGCAGTTTTTGGTAATTTACGATATAATATGTTCGGTCTAAAATAGTGCAAAATGTATACAGAGTTTGTAGGAACCATACACATCGTCACATTAATCATTGAATGAAAGCAAAGCATATTTTTTCTCCCATTTGCTGTTCGAAAATCATTGACGAACGAAAACTTTATCCCGAAAGCAGAACTTGGTTCTCAGGCTAATTTCTGGTCGATCAAATTGGTTTTAACGGAAAAAAAATGAGAAAATATACATTTTTGCCATCCAGGAAGCCAGCTTTTGAGAAAATCAACTCAAAGTAGCGTCATGAGAAAAAAGTGATTTTCGCCCTCAAGTTAAAATATCTTTGTAAAAACACATAAGATTTAGTTTTAAAAACTTACGAACAGCAGAAATGTTGTAAAATAGTACGTCGGAGAAACTATCGAGTAATGAGGAGTTGAAGTCGTGAGTGACGCTGAGCCTGCTTATGTTTCAGAATCTTTCGTGGCACATCTCAGAATGCGACTACTCGCTCTCGGCCATGTATCTGTACTTTCGCTGGACTCCACCCGACCCAAACTTTGACAGGGCTTACGAAACGCAGAAGAGCATAATGGGTTTTGACGTAACATTGGACGTGTTCCAGGTGGTCGAGAACAGTGGATTAGGATATATATATGTTGGTAATTTACAGTGGGCGCTATGGCCCAGTCTACAAACTGTAACAATATCCTTCGACAAAGTACAAAGCACAAATGAAGGTAAATATTTTAAAATTTTCTTTAAGATCTAGAACAAATTAACCCGCTTCTACTCACAATAATTCAGCCCTTTTATACCAATCAAAAGCGATGAATCAGCGGGGTGATTCATTGCGGGGGTGAATACACTGGACCGAAGCTAAACATAGGTCGGCATTCATTGCTGTTTCAGCGCTTTCATACCTCTTAATTAGTATTAAGTCCAACTCTAAATCAGCACTAAATCAGCAACGCAATTCCACCTAAACAACACTGAAAAAAGCTGGTTCATTCATGAAAAGAGCTGAATGACTCCCAAACAAACTGATATGGAGGACTTTGACACGTACTAGTGTATACTGAAGTAGCTTAACACTTGCCAGAGCAAATCCTTATCGGGGACTAGACTTTTTCCCAATAAACAACTTTTCTTACATATTGTAAGAAATTAGAAAATACGTGCAGTTGTTTACACGAGCTGTCATGCTCAACTTTGTGAGAATTCAATTGTAACTACCGAGCTATTAATTGGTAGTTATCAATTTCTTTCAAACAAAACAAAGAAAAAAGTTTCATGTTTTTTTTTCGGATTCAATTTTTTTGTCGATTTTTGTCCAATCAATTTCCGTTTCTGTTTTCAAATGCAGGTATGTTATCTGTTACGGTTTTAAAAAAATTTTTTGACACATGTTTTCAATTGAACTTTTTAAAAAAAAACTATAATAGAAAGGTGCTCTGTTATTTAGAAATATATCTACTCTGATTTTGAATATATTTTTTTAGTTTTTTTTTTCGAGCGAATGGTTTCTGCGTTGGCTATTTTGGCACTGCTGATGTCGGTTGTGGCTGTTTCAGATCATTGTTGACTGAGTTGATGACAAGCGGTTATGATGATTTCGGTTTTGGGTTCCATCATGATAATGATGCTTGTGAGTTTTTGCTGTTGGAGAGTAACCATGACTTGGTTGCTTGTTGTTTAAATTGTTGATTAGCAGCTAACCACCCATCTTCGCATATTGTAATGTTCAGGGGTTTGCTTAGAATTGTCGTGATGTTCAATTAGTGCTTAGCTCTGGCCGATTTTCGTGCAATGTGTGTTGTGATTTGTTTTAGTTGTTTTAAATGACCTTCGGTATTTATTTAATACCTGTTAATTAATTTAGATACGACCATCGGTCGATATGAGACAAAGTCAGTTGTCCTTTTAACACGTCTTAATTCACAAACTTCCTTTCTTTTATTAGTTTTATTCTTTTAAGTTTATGTACAGTAATTGTACATAGGTCTATAGCTTTAGAATAGTTTATTATGGCGCAGTCTAATGATTCGAACGTGCGTGGAATTCCCCCTTTGGCCTAATCATACCTAAGAGCCACCGCATGCCTGGACCCAATGGAGCGACCAATTTCAATTGACGATTATTGCTAAAGAAAATCTGGACTAAGAGAGCCTGCATGGGCCAGAGATTCCAGAAACGCAAATCCCCATTTTGGAAAAACCAACAGGTAGCGAGTCGGACACGGAAAAAGCCAACAGAGAGACGAGGAACAAAAACGCGATGAAACAGTACGAATCTGCCGAAGAAAAGCGAATTAACGAAGAAAAGAGGAAATTCAATGGAATGAGACGAACGGAGGCGGATCAGAAACTGCGCTCAATTTTACTTCTAGCCTTAGGGAGCGAAGGAAAAAGAGTCTTTTCACAGAAGAACCCGAGAGTCAAGATATTGGCAATAACATTCTCAGAGTTCTGGACTTTGCTTGACGCAACAGTGAACAAACCGCCCAACACTACGTTTGAAAGATACAAATTATTAAATCGGAAGCAGAAAGATCGTGAATCTAACGAACAATTCTGGTGAGCCCTGACGGATCTAGCTAGTATGTGTAACAACAAGCAACCCGACGAGGCAGAGTAGATAAGAGAAAATTTCATCTGTCATATGAAAACTGCAGATACCCAGAGGAATTTACTTTTAGCCACCATAAGCCCTTCGGAAGCACTTAATCAAAAATTGATTGACGAAAAGGGATATTTTAATCACCAAAAATTGACAAACATGGCGCAATTGTCGACCAATGGGACAACTTTTAAATCTTTTAACAATCATAACCAGATCAAGAAGGAACCAAGCCTGAACATTGAACGAAGTAATTCATGCATGAAATGTGGGAACGCATTCACGAAAGGGCACTTAAACGTCTGCCCAGCGAAGGACATAACCTGTAAAAATTGTATTTATAAAGGACATTTCGCCAAATTATGTAAATACCGTAATAAGAGACCCACTGTAAATACTGTAATGGATACTTATGTAAATACCGCGAATTTTACATACGTCCCTCCGAAAAATTTGTGGGCGGAGAACCAAGAATCGTGTGATGTAATAAATGCTTGGAACGAGTACGGACAGAGCGACGATGACGATTTTTCAGTGTTGAGCGTGAGAAGCATCTACGACAAAAACGGATTCGAAACGAAGAAACTCCTGAACATAGGCATTGGCTGGTATATGATTGTAGATATGAACATACCAGTAGATTCAGCAAGTCCCGTAAGCTTCTTAAAACAAAACGTGTTACACGAAATCAAACTAAGATATCCGAACTTGAAAATTCACCCAGTGGAGAAGAGGATAAAAGACTTGTTTGTGGATTCACTGACGACACGAACAATATCTTAGGAAAGATAATCGTTAGGACGCAATCCAATGGGTGGATCAGCAAAGAAACACCGTTCTTCATAACTGGCGGACATGAACAAAACGTTCTGGGGAATGACAACCTGCCCAAACTGGGTATAGAAGTGACGCAGAGAAAATGCCCCCAACCAATTTGCATGGTCAACCAACCTCCACTTGAGAGTGAGTACAAAAACTTACCGTCTTTATCTGACAAGATCTTTATTGAGTTCAAAGAACTATTCACTAGAGTGGGGAAAATACCTAACGATCGAAAATTAACACAATTCCACTCACCTTTTAAACCAGTAAAATCCACAGGGAGAAGGGTCCTGCTTCACTTACTCGCTGGGGTGAATGAAGAATTGAAAAGAATGGAGACTGAAGGCCGAATAATAAAATTAGAAAAATGCGACGAAGATCAGGCCAATTTTAATTACTCGGAAGATGGATGCTTCGATCAAGCTGTCTGTAGACTCCAAATTATTGAACGACCAAATTTTTAAAATTAAATACCAAATGCCGAACATTCACGAACTTATAGATAACGTGGACCTCCAAATCTCAGAGAAATCTAACGGGCGAGTTTGGTTTAGCAATCTGGACCTGAAAAATGCTTACAGCCAACTCAAACTATGCAAACAAACGAGTGAGCAGTGTAATTTTATTATAGTAGGCGGCAAAACTACTGGAACGTATCGATTTTTAACGGGATTTTACGGACTGGGGGACATGCCAAACGAATTCCAACGGGTCATGGACTCACTGATGAAAAGTATCCCTTTCACAAATTGTTACATAGACGACATTCTGGTAGCTTCGAGGGAATCCTTGGAAGAACACAAAGCAATAGTGTATAAACTCTAATCAATCTTAGATAAGAACAATATGGCGGTTAAATGGGGGAAATGCCCATTCTTCAAATCAGAAATTGAATGGCTTGGCTTCAGAATCTCCGGCGATGGAGTACGACCATTGGTGGGTAAAGCAGACCTAATAAAAAACTTGCCAATCCCCAAGAATATTTCCGAACTACGCTCGTTCTTCGGCTCGATAAACCAGTTTGTTAAATTTGTTCCTAATTTCATGACTCTAAGCTCCCCTCTTTGTCCTCTACTGAATAAAAAATCGGTTTACAAATGGGACAATGATCACTCATTAGCGTTTGAAAAATTAAAAGCAGAAATTTTAAATATAACACATAACACAAAACAGTCATTTTGATATAAAAGAGAAGATAAAACTGAAAACAGACGCTTCACACAACGGACTAGGTGCGACCCCAGAACAACTACAAGGAGACCAGTGGAAAACAAGTGCATTTGCATCTAGATTTTTGAACAACCATGAAATGAAGTACTCCACTAATGAATTAGAGTTACTGTGAGTTGTCTGGGCTTCAGAACACTTTAGAAACCACCTGTATGTAACTGAATTCCAATTAGTAACAGACCATAAAGCGTTACTATCAGCACTCTCAGCAAACCACGGGAATAAAACGATGCATAGTCGATTGACCCGTTGGGTGAATAGACTTTTACAATTTAATTTCAAAAAATCGCATTTACCGGGAAAAGATATGGGATTTACAGATCTTTTACATAGACTTTCTTAGGGCAAAGCCCTTCCAATCTCCCACTACGACGATGAATTTGTAGTCGCTTCAATCGACAAAATTCAGAAAATGCTATTAAATAGACCACACTCTAACTTTTCAACTGTAAATACTGTAGATAGGCCGGCGGTCGCTGTAAATACTTACTCTCTCGTTATACAACCCCGTCAGGAACAAAAAACTCAAGCGACGTAATTGGTCAAAACCTTTTAAACAGCTCTTTAGGATACTTCAATCTCAAGATTTTTGCCGCTATCATATCTTGTATCGCTCGGTCGATAAATAGTTTTCAAAATTACCATAGTCGGACAAAAAATTGTGCCTCAAATTGCCTACCCCTTGATAATTCGAAATTCAATTTTAAAAGCATTACCTTTACGGACAAAGTCCTCTTACGTTTTATCCTCGAAAACAGACAATTTTTACCATCTTCTAAAAAAGGCCAGACGTTCCAATATACAAATTTACTAAACCCCTATTAATTATCCCTGAAGAACATAACATTGCCCTCAAATTTCGAGACGACCGGCTTTCACCTGATCACGCAAACCACGTAAGAAGGTACAGGTCGGACTTAAAATTACCTATTTCCCCAATTCGCCCAGAAAAAATTGTTCAAGGAAACTGTTACAAATAATGACCAGGGAAGACAAAGTGCTGTGAGACTTGATCGAGACGATAAGACAAATCGACCAAGGGATATTCACGGAGCCTACATGAAAATCT